CTCTGCTCCTGCCCCTTCTCTCTTCCTACAGCTTGCTGCACTAATTCTCCACCTCGTTTGTCTTGTCCTCTCCTTCCTCCTTGCGGTCGCTCATCGTCATTTTCTTCTCTCCTCCAAGTTTTGCCTCCTCTCACTTCTCCTCTGCAGTTTCGGTGGAAAGAGGCCAAGATCCTCAATGACCCCGACGATCGGTAGCTCCGCTCCTGCTCCTGCTCCTGCTCCTGCTCCTGCTCCCGCTCCCGCTCCTGCTCCTGCTCCTGCTCCCGCTCCCGCTCCCGCTCCCGCTCCTGCTCCTGCTCCCGCTGCTCCAGCTCTTACTCCTCTCTCCTATCCCCTCTCCCTCCCTCCCTTCTTCCTGCCCCTCATTCACCAGCCTCTCTCCCTTCCTGCTCCTGCTCGTGCTGCTCCTCTACCTTCTCTCAGATCTTTCGCAGTTCTCACCCCGGACGGCAAGCCCTACCTCGCTATCGGCACACCGGGAGGAGGAAGAATAACCTACACAGTCTTCAATGCGCTCCTCGCCATCCTCGACCGCAAGGAGACGCTCAAGGTCTCCAGGCTCCTTCCTGCCCCTGCCCCAGCCCCTTCTGCTCCTGCTCCTGCTCCTGCTCCTGCTCCTGCTCCTGCTCCTGCTCCTGCTCTCTTCCATCTTCTGCACCTGCTCCTCCTGTCTCTCTTGTCATTCCTTCTTCCTCTCCTCGTGCTTCCTCCTTTCCCTCTCTCGACTGAAGGTTGTGCGACAGGAAGCAATCGATGCCCCCCGATGCATCTCAATGAACGGCGTGACAGAGCTCGAGTCAGGTGAGCGAAGCCTCCGCTGCTGCTGCTGCTGCTGCTGCTGCTGCTGCTGCTGCTGCTGCTGCTGCTGCTGCTGCTGCTGCTGCTGCTGCCGCTGCTGCCGCTGCTGCTGCTGCTGCTGCTGCTGCTGCCGCTGCCGCCGCTGATATTTCTCAGCGTACAACTGCAACTGCTCTGCAGCTCTACCAGACGACCTCTACCTCGTCAGCGCTCTTCGTGCCCGCGGCCTTCGCTTCACCACCTCCCCCTCCTCCTCCACCTCCCCTACCTTGAAGCCGCACTCCTCCTCCCCGACGGCTCCATCTCCTGCTATGCTGACCAGCAACGAATGCAAACAGCGCAGGGTGAGTCTCGTGCGACCTGACCTGACCTGACCTGACCTGACCTGACCTGACCTGACCTGACCTGACCTGACCTGTCCTGTCCTGAATTCTTCTCTCTTCATCTTACTTTTCTCGTCATCAGCGTTCTGTCACGGCAAACTCGACAAGAGCGGCTGGAGGAAGTGAAAGGGAGGAAAACAGAGCATGTGAGAAATACAAGTAAACAAGTGAATCAAGTCGTTCATAACTTCTTGGTCCCTCCCCCCCCCGCTCCTCCTCCTCCTCCTCCTCTGCCCCGCCTCCCTTTCTTTGCCTCCCTCTCCTCCCCTCTAAAGTTTCTCCTCTCCTCCTCCCTTGCGCTCTTGGGGAGTCGCAAGATGAGGAGGACAGCATTGACGGGTACCTGAAAGAAGACGCGGAGAATCCTGCAGAGGATGATTCAGAGTTGAGGGGAGGCAACTTTGAGGACAGGGTAGATGAAGAAAGGAGGGAGGAGGGAGGAGGGAGGAGGGAGGAGGGAGGAGGGAGGAGGGAGGAGGGAGGAGGGAGGAGGGAGGAGGGCGGGAAGAACGTGAAGGCGTGATGAATGGAAATGAGATGAGGAAGGAGAATGGAGGAAGGGGGGAGGGGGGAGGAGCAGGAAGGAGGGATGAAGGAGGAGGGAGGAAGGATGAAAGAGGAAGGACTAGACAACAAGGAGGGAAAGAGGAGCGTTGGAAGAGGAAGTGGAGACCTGTCGATGTAGTGCTCGTGGAAGCTCAGGGAATTACAAGGAAGGAAACCAGCCTTCATGTAGAGACTAAGAGCATGAGAGTTGTTCTCCTGCTACATGCTTCAGTCCTGTCCCTCCCTCCCTCCAACGTTCTTCTCCTGTCCCAACCCTCCTCCTCTATCCCCTCCTTGCCTCTCAACTCACTACCACCACAACCTACTCCTCCTATCCCTCTCCCTCCCTCCCTTCTTCCTCCTCTTCCTCTCCCTCCCTCCCTTCTTCCCTCTCTCCATCTCTCTTCTCCTACTGTGTTGCACGCTCTACTTTGAGCTATCCACCCGCTTTCCCTTCCCCCCCCCCCCCCTCCTCACAACACAACCTCCTCCTTCCTCCTCCCGTCCCACCTGTACATGCAAGTAGATTGACTCGACTGCTCCATCCTCTGCCGCTAGAGACTCCGCGTCCAGAAGAAGAGCATTTCCAACGCCGTGACGACGAAATTCTTCCCTAAAAATGGAGTGAGGTGAGCAAAAGAAGATTTACAACATCTCAAGAAACAATTGACTTGAACATCTCCATCCTCCACCATCGTTTCGATACGGATCTCTCATCATCATCATCACCACCACCACTACCACCACCACCATCGTCATCATCTCTTCGTCATCGTCGTCGGTGGCCTCCTCCTCCTCCTCCTCCTCCTCCTCCTCATCGTCATCATCATCATCATCGCCGTCGTCATCATCATCATCAATCGTCATCATCATCATCATCGTCATCGTCATCATCTCCTTATCTCATTCTCATTCTATTTCTCTTCCTTCCTCCTTATCACCTGACGCTCATCGAAGACAAGTAGATCCAGCTTCCCAGCAAGCTGCTCTTGTTGAACGACGCATGTGTAATCACGTCGAGAGATCCAAGAACAACTTCGGGATGAAACATCTGCCATAACAACAAGGAATTGAAGAAGTAAAATGTCTGACATATCTCAGATGTGAGATTCTATACTTGACTTGTCATTGCCGTTCTCCTCTTCTCGTACTCTTTTTTTGTGCACAGACCTGAAGAAGGCGTTAAGAACCTCCTTCACAATTTCTTTATCATCATCGTCTCATTTTTGTGTTCCCCTTCAAACTGGGCGGGAGGAGGAGGAGAAGGGGCGAACAAGGAAGGAAGAATAGAAGAAACAACAAGGGGGAAGGAGTAGTAGGAAGAAGGAGTAGAAAGGAGGGAGGAGGGAAAAAGAGGAGAAGTAGGAAGGAGAAAGAGGAGGGAGGAGGGAGGAGGGAAGATGAGGAGAAAGGAGTCAAGAGAGAGAATATTTTCAGCTTCATCTTTCACCCACCCAGTTGGAAGGACTCATTCAAATCACTTTGCATCATCTCCGTTGCCAGCCTGATCACCATCAAGACAGAAGTTGACATCATGAACAAACAAGGTCCTTTCATACCTCTCCAGCTCCACAGATCGACAGCGAGCGGCTGCTACACGATATCGTGTCTTGTAGCTGCAATGCATCAGTGAGATTCAAGACAGGAATATATCTCTGCTGTTATGATCGTTAGATAAGCTCAACAACACATCCAAGTGTCAATCAGTTCGACCATGCGTTCAACATGGTTCGAGCAAATCTTTCAGTCGTCTTCTAGTTTGTTTCTCTCTCAAACATTCGAGGAGGAAAGGAGGACATGTTGTAAATTTACCTTCCTCCAATCCATTCTCTCAGCCTGTCGATGTAATTCTTGCTCTTTGCACTGACAGGAAGATTATGATATGCCATACTGTCTCGTCCAAACGACTTGCAACGCAAATGAGCGATGGCCTGAAAGTGACGATCATCAGATTTATCAAACAAACTTCATGTAAGACATAGCGGTCTCCATGTCAGACATTCAAATCGCACGCTCCTCCCATCGTATCTACCCTTAAAAAGATACTTCTACCTTGTAACACTTTGCAACATGTACACCCTCTTTCACTCACCTCTACATCTTCCAACGTCGCTTCTTTGACTTCGATTGCAATGGATCCACTCAAAAAGTTCTCATCAAACATGCGCCAGAGAGCATCGTGATGGGAAGAGTTGGTAAATTTCTTCTCATCTCCTCTGCTCGCTTCACTTTCCCGTGCTCTCCTCATGACAAATTTCCTTGTCATCTTCGTTCCATGTCTGACATGGCAATCGCAATGATTACATGATCTGCTCACTGCCATGCCATTTCTCGCAAGTGTTTGTGTTGGCAGCGACGAAAATGCGGAAAGGACCAAGAAAGTTTCACTGCACAGTAGAAAGAAAAACAAGAGCTCGACGATCATGGTGGGTGAAGTAAGTGAGAGTGGCATCTCAACGACTTTACATGTCGTGATCTCTTGACTTGGTCATCTTCATAACTTCAAGCACCTTCGCTTTGTCCGATCATGCGAGTTCCGTTCAAATTTCATTTCCCCAATACAAAGCCTTGCCAACATCTTGCTTTTCACACACCTCTTGTCATACATCATTCTACCCTTTGTGCTTCATGTTAACCTTGATCTTCCTCTCCTACCATCTCCTCTTGTTCAGTCTCCTCCGCCTGCCTCTCCTCTCCCCTCCTCTCCTCTCCCTTCGCACTCCTCCGTCCCTCTCCCCGACACTCTGGCCCCCGAATTTGGAACTACCCCCTCATGACTTATTCTCCATTACCTACCCTACCAAGTTAGATGTAAAATAGGGGGGAAAGGGGGATCTTGTGACCACCCTACCCCCTGGATGATTTAGCCAAGAAACAAGGTGGATGATGCTGATGACGATGTTGTCGTTGAGCTGATCTGGTGGTGGTGGTGATGAATTCGTCTTCGTCATCACCACCATAACACATAAGGTTTTCATCGAATGATGATGACGAGGACAGCAACGGTGTGATGGCATTCATCTAGAAGAAGCGCATCCAAATCTAACTCTGTCTACCTGATCTCCTTTCCCCTTGCTTCCTCCTCTCTGTATCATTGGAAGCTTGAGCCTTCCCAGTGTTACTGCAGTCGGTCGAGTTTGACTCGTTCAATTTAGCATTGATGTGGTTCGTCAACGGCTCAACCAACCTGGGACATGAAGTTACGATCATCAAATATTCTTGAAAACTCAACAGAGTTACCAGGAAAGATTCGATTCTCCAAAGATGTCTTCAATGCTGTTTGCATCTTGCAACAGACTCGAGATCTGTGAAACATTGTTCGTCTCGGTCAAGCATGAAGGCAATCTTCGTCTCTGGTCACCTGAGGGTCGGAGAGGAATGATTCGCTGATATCACTGTAGAGGTTGGGAATCGCAGCTGAATCTGCTTGCTCGGTGTTTTCTTTAGCTAAAATTTGATCCAGCCAATCAACACCCAACTTAAGGTGGAAATCTGACCAATTAAAAAAGAACTTACCTGTTTCAGTAATTTGTTTGGGCTTTTCGTGAGAGACTGCAACGTCCTCGGTGGTTGTTTGTTGCACAGGCTGTACGTCCACCGTTGTTCTCGAGACTTTCCTTCTCTTATTGCTGAGGGTAAGCAGTCAATCCCCTCCAAAGCAACTGTCTGGCGTCCACTACCTTTCCTGTACAGTCTGAGTTTCTATTCTTTCTGAAAGCATGCAGTCAGTGAAGTTAGAGGAAAGCTATATCACAACTTGAGGGATCAAAATCACCTTTCAAATCTTCACAGCTCTTCGGCTTCGATGGATGGGACAATCCACCCATTTGCAAAGATCGCATTATCTTGTAGTCCTCCAACAATCTCGCCATGTTCTCCATCACCTGACAGAGCAAAGGCGTCATGCTGCAATCCTGTAAAGGATCGTACGAGGTAGCGATGTACGCAAGGCAAACCTACATTGGATACATGGTTTGCTGTGTTTGGATCATTCCTTTTACGTCGCCATAGGTCAGGTATGGTGAAACAGAAGGTAGGTAGACTAACATGTACATTGAGGAAATCTTTTCCCTTTGTTGCTTTTCTTCCTTCAGAGCAACATATTCTTCCTACGAGCTGAGTCAGGTAGGCTGCATTCAACTCTGTAGAGCAACCAAAATGGAACACAGATTCTTGACCCCCTTCCTGCCAGGTCGAATCGAGGACAGAGTTTCCCTTGCCTCGTGCTCAAACCACTTGATGGTGTTTGGAAATTTATCCTTATCTTGCCGAAGAAATCCTAGGACGAGGTGCGAGATCTCGGCTCGGCGCATAGCTTGGGGATCAGAGAAATCGGTCTTGCGGTGTGCATCAGCCATACTTGGTGGTCAAGGAATCTGGGAAGAACAGTCAGACCATGTGAGATTGATTCTTTCTCTTCAAACAACACAAATCGTTGGTGACCCCAATCTTGGCATTTAAACATTATCAAGTTCTCGACACATCATATTATCCCTTCCTCTCATCCTCTTAGCCATTGTCTCCGCTCCCCTCTGCTCTGCTCTGCTCTGCTCTGCTCTGGCTGCCATTCTACAGCTTTTTCCCCCGCCAAATCTCCCAGCATTCGGATGAATGGATACGAGTGGGGAAGAGGGTCCCGTCCGGCCGCTGGCATTATACTTGAGGAGTCGACTAGTACTTTTCAGTCAATAAAAGAGTTGACATTTTGTACGGGGGGGTGGGGTGATACCCGGAATGATATGGAGAGGGTAGGGTATTGATTGAAATCTCAAGGGTGGGTAAAGCAAGTACACAAATAGTTGATTTTCACCGGGGAATCGGGGGTACTGGCACAGACGGTAGGTACACTTCGTCATGGTAGGGTACTATGGAGGAATTCTATACGGGTAGGGTATGAAAATGTCTTCTACGACCAATGAAGACGGTGGGGTGGGGTAGTCAGAGTGTCCTCTGTCAGGGGTGGGTAGTACAACAGATTGTCCAAATCTTCATAGAAGGTGGGGTGATTTTCAGGTCAAATAAGGGGGTATGGTAGATAAAGAGGGGACAGGGAGGGGGTACGGTGTGACGGCACCGGGTGGTTGCGGTTAAAATGCTCGCAAAAGTAAATTGAGACTTGATGAGCGTCTGTAGGAGAGTGAAGGAGGAGAGTGAAGGAGAGGAGAGGAGAGGAGAGGAGAGGAGAGGAGAGGAGAGGATGCAATGATAGAGAAGAGGAGGACACGGTGACTTGATAGGATGAGGGCGAAGATAGGTGACAAGAGCGAGATGAAAGCCAGGCAACTGAATCTCCAACAGATGAATCGTGTTTGCCGAAGAAGTGCATGATGAGAGATAGATCAACAATGGGCTGAGGGTTTAGGGCTTAGGGGTCTCCGGAGAGTTGCCTACACAGGGTCTGAGCACCAAGTTGCAGGAAGATTTTGTTGAAATTGACGTAATGCTTTTGCTTACTGTATTCCTGAATCAGGAGTGAAGAATCAGATGTTCGGAATGCGACAGCTCGTTGAACCTTGGCATGGGCTTTTGTCCACAGTTGATGACGCTGACGAGTCACACTAGATTGATGCGAGCACGATCAAGGATTCAGACTTGCTGCTCCGAGTTCTTGAGGTCTGAATGACTTTACCGTGCATGCGTCATGCAGTCCTCAGCAGCTAAGGTTCTGGTTCTCTGAGCTCCAATCCAGCTGGTTGGCATCAGTATGGCGAATAAGGTAGCTCCAGAAGACGAAGTCGGTCATGAGAAGTTGGCTGCGAAGCGGGTCCGGTTTTCACGTCAGGAGACTATCACTTGGCACAGTTGCTTTGTTCCAGGTACGACCGTGTATTCCCTTCCTGTCTCGCTTGGGATGGTTCGATCTGAACTTGTGGGGCAGGTTCGAATGTGCTGGAGCCCTACTCAACGGGGAGGTTGACGTGGGATTTGTGGATCATCTTCCTTCTGGCAGTGACTGTTTTCACCGTCCCTTACGCGCTCGCCTTTCAGAGCTCTTCCTGCGGGAGCCAGAGGTCAGGCGGAAAGGAGGCGGGGATGGGAGAGTGTGACATGAAGCTGCAGGGGTCTAGGAGACACCATCTTCCTGTGGTTCATGGACGCATGCTTCTGGACGGACATCTTCATCCACTTCAACACTGCCATCGTCGTCACAGACCCTTACACGTGCAAGATGGAGCTCGTGTTGTCCAGGAGGGAGATCGCCAGACAGTACCTCAGACTCTGGTTTTGGTTAGACGCGTTCGGATCTCTTCCTGTTCAAGCGATCGAGGATGCGCTTTCTTCGGGAACTTGCTCGCTCTCGTCCATAAAAGCTCTGCGGTTCAATCGACTGGTGATGGCCGAGCCTGACGAGCTGATGTCCTCTAACCACAATCTCAGGCTCGACTTGCTCGTCTGGCCAAGCTGGTTCGACTGTTGAGGCTTGCCAAGTGGAATCGCATCATCACGAAGCTCAAGGTTCCCGTTCTTGCTGTTAGTCGCGCGGCTTACCGAGGACCGCAGGACTCTCTTGCGATCCATCCGGGTTATCTCAAGCTGCTGGAGATGGGCTTGTTTGGCATCGTCCTGGCGCACATCCTCGCGTGCATCATCTACGGTTACGTGGAAGTGGAGTCAGTTTCCTCCCCGTTCCCCACCTGGGCGAGCGAGGCGTCCATTACCATCCCGGGGTCTGGTATCTTCGTACTCAAATGCCCTGACATCTCCCTGGATTCTCAGGGGGACGCTCTCCCTCCCTGCCACGAGTACTCGCTCTCAGAAGTCAACTGCTCTCGCACTGTCATTAGCTTCACGTCCAATGGTCAGCAGGTCAGTTGTCTACAGCCGGACTCTAGCTGGAAGAAGGAGGCGCCTGACCTAGTCAAGTATGTCATGAGCTTGTACCTGATCTTCATGACTCTCACAACGGTCGGGTATGGTGACCTGACCATGAAGAATATCTACGAGATGTTCCTGGGCATCGCTGTGATGTCGGTCGGGACAACGGCGTTTGCCATCGTTGTCGGCAACATGACGGACCTAATCGGCAACTTGGACGTCCGAGCTCTAGAGCTCAAGGACAAGATGGACGAGCTTGACGACTTCATGCACCAGGAAAACCTCCCGATCAACCTGAGGGTCAGGACGAGACGTTTCTTCGAGCATGTGCACAATCACTCAAGGGAAGTTCCTCCTGTTGTGCGGGAACTCCCCATCACCCTCCAGTCGGAGGTCTCGCTGTACCTGTATGCCGATTTGATCAGAAAGGTTCACTTCTTCAAACGTTGCAGCAAGGAGTTCGTCACGGACGTGGTGAGGAGGTGCAAGCCAAGGACGCTGGCACAGAGCGACTTCCTTTTCCTGGCGGGAGAGTACGGGGACAGCATGTTCTTCATCATAGATGGGACTCTTGAAGTGCAGGTTGACGCTCAAAACAACATCTTCGCCCTGCTGGAGAGCGGGTCCCACTTCGGGGAGAAGTGTGTGCTGGGGATAGAGAAGTTCCGTCCTGTCACAGTCAGAGCTCTGACTTGGTCGAACCTCTTCTCGTTGAGTTCAGACGACCTGGAGGAATGCATCTACCGCCATCCCGACTCGCACGAGATGTTCTTGTCCATCTCTTTCAGCGGCATTGACTCTCAGATCGCCACCCTCTCGTCTCCGGCTATGAAGGCGAAGAAGAAACCTCGGATGCTGCAGCACCTTTCCAGCCTCCTCTCCTCTGACATCATCCATGAGCACGAAGGCAATGGCGAGAATGCGCGTGGTAGCGGTCACGGGGAGGCGCCGGGAGTGCTCAAGAACAGCATGTCGGACGTCGTGCAGGATGTGAATTCTGCTGTGCAAGGAAGGCAAGAGCAGCAGCATCCTCAGATTGTGAGGAGATCGGCAGGAAGCATGCACAGGAGAAATTCTGACCCGAGATTGAAAGAGATCTCCATCGCTCAAGCGCAGAGGCTCGAGGACGGAGCGTAAAGGAGCTGCCGCCTGTTGTCCAGCGGGCGATGAGGAGGACAGAGTCGAATCAACTCGCCAGTGTGGTCGGGGCGAGCCTGTCCAAGTTGGTTGTCGAGACTCCAAAGGCTCAAGTCGACTTTGATATGCTGGAGCGCTACAACAAGGTAGGAGGAGGGAGAGGGAGAGGGAGAGGGAGAGGGAGAGGGAGAGGGAGAGGGAGAGGGAGAGGGAGAGGGAGAGGGAGAGGGAGAGGGAGAGGGAGAGGGAGGGGGCCGGGAGGAAGGGAGAGAGGCAGGGAAGAGACATCTCACGCTTGTCCCAGCAACGCGAACTGTCGAAGGAGAAGCGGAGGAGGTTTGCCGAGGGCATTGTGAGGCTGGAGAAGCTTCTGAGGAAAGAACTATGACGGCGTCGTGCAGCGTAGAGTGGAGGACAGAGAGGGTACGAGGGGAGGGGGAGGAGGGAGGAGGGAGAAGAGGGAGGGAGATGAACATTGTGGATATCGTCAGGGTAGGGAGGAGAGAGGAGGAAGCGAAGTTGGCAGGATCCTGGAGAAACAAACAATCAGGGGAGATGAAGGGAAGGCAAGGGGAAGGGAGAGTGTTGTTTACGAGAGAGAGGGAGAGAGCTCTCAAATTTTTGTCTGCACATCATTTAACAACTTTAGAAAGAGTTGATTTACATACGAAATAAAGCACAAATACTCGGAGATGAATTTTAAGCAAATTTGATAGTAAATGAACTACAAATACGTTTGAAACAATAGCAAACATGTCTGACGGGAAATCCTCTGAGACGACTTCAAGTATACACATCCCAGTGACAAGCGAATCACCATGATATGTGTCAGGACCGAGGTTCTCATGTGTTTGATCAAAACACGTATGCATATCAGTATAACACCTCTATGCCAACTACAACACATGTTCACATCATGCTGAGATCTTCTGGAAATGAGGACAATTTCACTTCGCAACGAGACGATCAAGGACACCAACCTCTCCCTCCTCCCTGCTCACAACCTCGCCTCCCTTCG